GGGGGGGGGGAGCGCGGCGTGGTTGCGAAAGTCGAAGTGTTACGATCTACCAGGTTCGAGATTTTGGGGGGGCTACGCCGCGACGTTGGGTAAAGAGCTTCCAAAGATGCTCATAATTGGCGGTAGCGGGATTGGAAAAAGGTTGCATTTCTGAGATGAAATCGTGTGGGTTTGGAAGTGTGGTGGGCTGTGGAGTATGGGCAACGGCCGCTCAATGATGGATGATGGGCATTGAGTGGCGGAGCCCTACAATCGTCAGCGTCAGCAAGCATGTAGCCCTCTCACTCATTGGATAGACCCATTCAATCGGACAACACTCAACAAGGCGCAGCACAAGTCACTTGAAACACCACATACAAGCGAGGCACTTCTGTACACCCCTGCTAGTCGACTACTTTCGAAACATAGCTTTGACGTCACCTCTACCTGACTGAAGAAAGCACGACACATTAATGCACCACAAGGCGGTGAAAAAACACACAAAGCAATACACCAGATATCCATGAGTGTGTGCGAGGGAGCTGAGACAGTGAGTGTGTGCGCGGCTGTGCAGCGTCTCTGTGCACGGGACACGAGAGCGGGAGAGAGAGAAAGCTGTGGCTGAGGAGAGATGATCGGAATTCCCCAAGCTTTCAAGGGGAGAAAATCGGAAAGCGCGGAGAATGAAATGGTGGAATGAAATGTGGAATGAAATGGGGGGGTCAAAAATGTGCCCTACCACTGCTGTAAGCATCAGCACACCTCTACAACGACACCCAGGCGGTGAAGTCTACCTCACCGGTTGATTTACCCCCCCGCACACATCGTGGGTGAAAGCTACGAAGATATATCTTCCAAGGTTTGGGGCCGCACCGTAGTCTTTGTTTGTATAGTGACGTGGGCCCTGCTCCAAGGGCTGCCTGCACGACTATTGCCATTTATACACTCAAGAGGACTTCGACCCAAGGCAGTAGACGCTGGTGCTGGTTGGGTTTGTCATTTTCTCCCCGTCGTGCATACCTGTGATTGCTCCTTCGGGCACAACTGCCTCGAGCTGCACACAGCGAACCTTCTTGGTTTGTCAATGAACTGGCCGCATTTCTCCTGTTCCACGTTGTTACAGTACGTGTCCAAAGTGTAACGAGCACCGCAGAGGACAGGGCGCGCGGGGACGCAAAGAGTGAACGTAATTGATGGGTGCCTGAGCATTTTAACTCGTTCCAGATAGTAAACACGGCAGTGCTTCTACAGACACCTAGACTGTATTTGACTTCGCCTCCTGCGGCAGCAAACTTGAAATCGGAATAACTTCACCCTTTTTTTGCACCACACGGTAAAGCCACTCTTGCCCCGTTCTTCGATCAATAGATCCCGCCCAACCCACTCTTCTCCGTTTTCTCTGCCTCTGTCTCTCCTTCCGTCCCCCCACCTCTCCATCTACCCCCTTCCTGCTAGCCACGGCGCTGCTAGCCGATGTATGGTTTTTCCAGGTGCTTGTGTCGGCGTCAATTGCCATCGCTCCGGGTTATATATACACTGCTGTAGGTAATCCTGGTGTTTTTGTTTCACGAGAACACCGCACGACCGCGCTACCGCTCAAAAATTAGAGTCAGCGCGATCACCAGACAGACAGAGTAGTATTTAGTACATGCGGACGAAACATGAAAATAGCGGAGCAACTGCTGGTACGATAAATACATGCTTTCGTAGACATGCCTAGCACAGCAGTAGCATTTCGGATTCGTCCTCTTTCCCAGCCCTTACCTGAACCCCCTCATACAACGGCCCTAGCACAGGGTGCTTGCCGAGGCAATGTCGCTCCCGAGGCGAGAACTGGTGCCGAAACAACTTGAGCGTTGACAGCAACTGGGGTATGTCTTCCTGTGTTGGCGGCGTATTTAAAGTAACCTTCGGCAGTCTCTTCTGCTGATCATTCTCGTCTCCGGCTGATGGTGGCGGCTTCTCTGTGCCGTCGGCGTCAGTCATGGCAGTGCTGGATAGGAAAAGGTGTGTACTTGTGCGCTCTTTGGTTGCTCCCTTGTCACACCTCGCAACCCGGGGATCTGAAGACACATCCCCGGGAACGCCGTTCTGCATGAAACTCCTCCTCCTCGGTGAGGGGAAAACTGATACCGCCTCTTTAGTTCTGCAGGTTCTAGCTTGGACGTGCG